TGATGGGTTTGTTTTTTTTTTCTTTTCTTTTTGTTTGTGGGTGTTTTTTTTCCCTTTGTCTTTCTTTTTCTATTGTTATGTGATTATGTTGTCTATGTAACAAAAATAAAACAAAAAAATTTTTTTTTAAAAAAAGGAGAAGTAAGACCCCCATCTCCTTATAAGGCTTTCTCCTCAAGGTAAACAATAAGAAATGAGGTTAAGTGTTTCCGTGTTACGCTGCCTTTGAGAATGTGTAAGAACGTGTGCTTCGATAATAAAGGTTGTTCAGAATTTGCAATGTTAGCTATTTCGCTAACTTTCTGAACCTGGCTGCCAAATAAACTTTTCCTGTATCCTGAGAAGTCTAAAGCCTGTCATTTTCTGCAATAGTGATGTCTTTGCTTTTTAGTATGCTGTATACTGTCTAGATTTGCCATTGTATGTAGATTAATTAAGCTTATATCCAGAGAACTGGAAGGTGTTTGTCAAAGCAAAGTTTGAGATGACATTATAAATTGGTCTGTTCTGGATAGGATTATTCTATCTATGAAAGACGAAGTTCACAAACTGGAAGAGGTTCTCTTGGGGAAATGTTTTAAATTGCCACTCTGTTTAAATACAGGAAAGTTAGCTAGACCTGTGAGAGGCATTGGCCCCCCAAGTGCCAATATTTCCAGGCAAGACATTTATAGTATCTCTCTGTACAAAATGTAATAAAGGAAAATAAAAAGCATGTTTTTTTGTTTAAATTGAACCAACAATATTATATGCTTTGTTATTGGATCCAGAAATTATTTCCTTTGCTTTATAGAAGAAGGAATCAGAAGAATTAAAATTAACGAAGAAAAAGGAATAAGCATAAGCATGGTTGACCAGATCTGTATCAACTGATCAAATATTTTTTAAACAATCGAATATATATAGTCTGATTCACAGCTTAGCATAATACTCTTACTGGCAACATGGAAGTTACTCATTTATTTTTCTATAATATTTAGGGAACTTACTCATTAATAATCTTTTGGGACTATTTAATTATTGAAATGGCTGTCAGTCTCCTCAATTTAAAACAATCTTGGATGTTAGCTTTTAAAAAACTGAGTAACGGTACTACCTCAGAATTAATGTAAATATACTGCATATATTCTTCCCTTGTTACTCCTATCTATTAAATTCTGGTTCCCTTTTGTTTGACGTCTCCATTGTGCTCCATTAAAGATTATAAATTCTTTGGGGCAAGAGCCAATCATTTTGCATTTCTAGACTTCTAAAACAGAAATCAAGAGATTGTGCTCCAGGAAAGTTGTACATACCGGTACAATGAAGTGGAAATTGTGATCAGATTAGTAATATGAAAGTACGGCATATTAGGTTATGCAGAAAACGATGTTACTGACAAGAACTGAACTGATAGTAATTAGCAGGAAAGATATATTGCAGTGTTACCATATCTCATTGAACAGATCGGCTCTGAGCAACAGTAATGAAAAGGATAAATTTCATGCACATCTGAAAAAATTATAAAGAGTTTAACACAAATAGAATAGAACAGAACAGATCAGAATAGGATAACAGAGTTGGAAAGGACCTTGAAGGTCTTCTACTCCAATCTTCTGCTTAGATGGGAAACCCTACACCACTTCAGACAACTCTAATCTCTTCTTAAAAAGTCCAGTGTTGGAGCATTCATAACTTCTGGAGGCAAGTTGTTCCACAATTTGCCAAAATTGTTCTAATTCTCAGGAAATTCCTCCTCAGTTCTAAGTTTCTTCTCTCCTTGATTAGTTTCCACCAATTGCTTCTTGTCCTATCCTCAGGTGCCCTCTTCTTTGTGGCAGCCCCTGAGACATTGGAACACTACTATCCTGTCTCCCCTAGTCATTCTTTTAATTGAAATAGACATACCCAGTTCCTTCAGGCTTTCCTCATATGTTTTAGCCTACAGTCCCCTAATAATCTTTGTTGCTCTTCTCTGCACTTCTAGAGTCTCAGTGTCATGGTGGCCAAAACTGGATGCAGGACTTCAAGATCCCTCTCACTACTATTGAGCAAGGTAACACATATACTGTACCTGTGCATTTTTTTTTGCCTAAATGTAGAACTTTACTTAATTATTTTCCAGATAAATTTCCCATGAGTTTTAGATACGCAATTCCAAATAATGAACAGTATTGGTAATATAGTCTAACTCATATTTTCTTAAGCGATAGGAATTATGCATGAGAGGAAGGAAAGGGAAGGAGGCAAGAAGAGAACTTATGTGGAAGATATTGATGAACATTGCAACCTCATATAGGGGTTTGTGTGAGAAGTAAAAAAAAAAAGGAATTATAAGGTAGTAGCCCTCAAGTCAAGGTTAATTTTTAGTGACTTTATGCTTACATAAATTACATAGCAACAATGTGGATGTCATTTGCCATTATATTCTCCCAGGATATTAACTTCTGTAACCCTGGGATTTTGTAGGGTCTGTCATTCAGGTTCTATCTAGGTAGATCGTAGATCCTGTTTAGCTTTTTGAGATACTTCAGCTGCTGCAAACAATCCCAGAATGTAATGTAATGGTCCTCTCAGATTATGTGATTTCTCACATACCCTATCAAAATAAATGCTAATGAAATATTAACAAAATAATGTAAGAAACCTTCATATTTGATGGCATTGTTGGTCTTTTGGCTTTATATTCAAGTTAGTAGGATCAATCCAAGGGTAAGAGGTTAAATATTAAAATTTGAGTCTCTTACTATACTTTAAAAAGTTTTGAGACAGAAGAGTTGAAAGTTGCAAGCTTAGTAAGTAACCTTTTAAGGAAGTAATTTTTAAGGAAAGCTGTTTTGTCACAGATTGATTACTCTTCCATTACAATTCTTCCAAGAAAGGATTAATTTCTTAAGGTTTCAGTTATTGCTGAGATGGGCAGAAATCTATTATTGTATCATATTCAGGAGGAGAGATTTGTTTGTTTTGAGTTAAAGTTGTGGCATTATATAAATATTTTGTTATGTGCACTCACAACTTAGAAGGACTTGCTATAAATAAACAACATTTAATAATAATTGTGCGATATGAGTATATTTGAATTCTGTGCCTTTCTGGAAAAGGCACAGAAAAAGGTATTCAACATTATGAAGAAATTGGAATACATATAAAGGACTTTGAATGTGTTTACATAAAATTCTCCAAGACTTTGTTGTTAGTTGCAAAGTCATGTCCGACCCATCGCAACCCCTAGGACAACGTTCCTCCAGGCCTTTCTGTTCTCTACCATCTTCTGGAGTCCACTTAAGCTCACGCCTACTGCTTCAGTGACTCAAGACTTTAGCTCAGTGCAATCCAGTTAAATTGCCAGTATTCAGAATAATGAAAACTGTTTCACTCAAAAACACACCAAACAA